GCCGGGTCAACCACTTCAACAATTCTTTTGTAGAATGATGGAAATCGAAGCTCATGGGAGGAACGATAATTGTGAGATTGATTCTTCTATTAAAATTTCCGTACAGCGTGGTACTGCTGGTATTCGTTACCATAAGATTATATTTAATGGGTTACTATTAGGTTTAGATCTGCATGATAATTGTTGTATCTTAAATGATGGAGTCTGCGTCGTCTTCGATATCATTACAGACAATAATTCGTATCTTGTAGCAGTAAAAAGATTTTTACACGTTGAAAATTTCTATGATGTTGGAATTGTCTCTTCAGCTATTCAAGTATATAAATGTTCGACGTTAAGCAATGAAATTTTTCGTATTTCCTTGCAGGAAATTTGAGCAAAATGTTATAGAATGCCTTTTTGGAATTCCACATCTGTGCACGATGACAGTAGCAATGAAGATTTAAAAATGATAGCTCCAAGGTTTGTCCCTTCTATGCGGAAGCCCACTGGCCATATCAATGCCCGCAATATACTTCAAAACCGCTACAGCAACGACTTGGTCTAGTAAGAAAACTCAATCTTTGTTATAATTGTTTCGGACCGCACAGAGCAGCGAATTGTCGTATGTCTGTACATTGTAAAAAATGTGCGGGAAAGCATCACGTGTCACTCCATCGTGGCAACTTTAAAGGTTCAAAGGTTAAAGCTAGATCTTCCAATTCATCAGAGGTAAAAAATGCAGAGAGCTCCTCTGCAGAAGAGTCAACCATAAATAAAGATACAAAGAAAGTCCCACAAGTTTTCCATTCTTTCGAACAAGATAAGGTCAGTAAATACTCGGTATTATTAGCAACAGCGCTTGTTTCCGTTCAGTCTCCAACAGGATATACTTGTAAAGCTAGAGTTCTTATCGATCAAGGGTCAGAAATATCCTTAATAACGGAGCGACTAGTACAACGCTTACATTTGCCCCGGACGAAATCTAATATCCCATTGATTGGAATTGGCAGAAAAAGGAGTAATAATTCTAAAGGACTTACTTCTTTCAAACTAAAGCCTCATTTTGAATCATCATTTGAATGTTCTGTATCAGCTCACATTCTTCCAAGACTGACAGCTTCGTTGCCCTCCGTGTCCCTTCAAGAAGGATCATGGTCTCATTTAAGGGGCTTACAACTCGCGGATCCCGAATACCTTTTATCAAATCAAATTGACATTCTTCTTGGTGCAGACATTTATTGTCAAATTGTACGAGACGGTATTATTAAAGGGCCGCTTGGTTCACCAATGGCACAACCCACGGAATTAGACTGGATCATCTCCGGCCCCACGAGCCCTAAAGTATCTCCCACTAGTTCTCATAGCTTTCATATTTCAGTCGATGAGAATCTCTATGATCTAATGCACAAATTTTGGGACATTGATGAAGTACCATCAACTACCTCTGTAACGTCCGCCGAAAAACATATACAGACGGCGAACGTCACTAACAGGCAACGCGAAGTGGTTGTCATAACAACCATCTAGCGTCCTGCTCCAAGAAGTGATCAAGTGCTTATTGCATGATCAACAGCTGTAACGATACTTCAAGCGCGCGCGCGCATCAAATTAATATAATTGAGCGAACTGAATATAAAATAAATAGAACAATAAATTAGCAAGTGATACACTTTGAATGAACATATAACTATATACTTGTGCAAAATCAAGGCACAAATACTAATTATATAAGGATCAAAGATTGTTTATTCAAAACCTGTAATCACTTAAGTATAAAATCAATATCAGTTTGATAAATAATATAGTAACAACAAATACTAGTCATTTCGCTTAAGTATCTTAATTAAAAACCTCTTAAATAAATAATGAGGTAACGCGACGAGGCATAGCGAGCCGAAACAAAGAGCCGATACATACGGCATAACTACGTGCATAAAAACGAGAGCAACTGTTCGGGCGAATTACCGCTTAAATCAATAGTCAATAAGATGCAGAAATTGCACCGCAGTGTTGTGCCTTGCGGGGGCTGTGCCCATCAATGTGTAGCCTCCCGAATTTAACTGCTAACTATTGAAAATTAATAGAAATTAACAAATAGAAAAATACAGAATAATACCGGTAAATAAGCTACACATTGGGGGGTCAATTCCCCTCACCGCTCAGCATCACCATTCGACATAAACAGAAGTTCCGAGAATTTTCCAGACGATTCTGGAAACAGAAATTCGTGACGCAGTTTCCGGAAAGGACAATCCCCCTTGTCCTCGCGGGGATCACCCCTTGATTTGTATATAAACCGTGTCCGCTAAGAGCGCAGCGCACTTCGTTTCTTAGTATTCCAAATTGCACCTCGCTTCACGAGTAAGCATTTCGGTTTTCGCAATCAGTTGTCGCACCTCTTTTTCGAACAATATTCTTTATTAGCTCAGCGGTAACTTCGAACAATATCGGCGCCCGTAATACATATACATATATCTACATTTTGTTCGCATTATTAACAATCAATTCTTTTTTGTGTAAGTAAACGGTGAAATAAACCTCTTTTTGGTTCAACTTTTCTTCTACTCAATTTAATTACTTTTCTAGTGTCGTAATGTTTCGGCAAATGAAGTGCCTAAGTGTTTCGTGATCGTCTGTGGTGTCCATAATTGTTAAAGTGATCTGGATTCTCTGAGAGTGGTAAATTATAATAAAAACGCGTTGTTTCGGGGGCCTCTCTGGGAACGGCCGCTGCGAGTTTTAAGACGAACTCCAGCCGCCTATGGAGCGAGGCTCTAGCGGCTTTCGGGAAACACAAAGCCGCCCCTCGTTTCTCCTGAAGACGCCACCGCGTTAGCTCGATTGTCACTCGAATCTCGGCTTGGAGTTCGAGGTGCTCGGAGGCCTTCCCGGAAAGGGCCGCCGCGAGTTTCAAGACAAAACTCGCGCACTGATACTCGACTTCTGCCTCTGGCTTCAGTCGGGTGGTATTTATTTACATGCTTCTGCTGAGCTAGTCAGCTGATTTAGAATGCGGTCGGTAACTGACCGATCGCATGTAGCAATTCCTTTTTGAAGTTGCTATGCTTAATTCTGCTTAAACTTGCTAAAAGATATTTGGAAATTGTTCTACTTAAACGGAATTTCTACTTATTATCGCTTGAACAGCTAAGTTCGGAAATCGTTCCGCTTTACTAATGCTTAAACTGCTAGATTGCGTTTTTGGTAATTGGAATCGCGTTGCAATCGCGATGTCGTACGCAATCGCTTTAATATATGTTAATGTTTTTATTTTATTTTTTAATATTTTATTTTAATATTTGTTGTGGGTATAACAATCTCCTGAAGACGCCACCACGTTAGCTCGCTTGTCACTCGAATCTCGGCTTGGAGTTCGAGGTGCTCGGAGGCCTTCCCGGAAAGGGCCGCCGCGAGTTTCAAGACAAACTCCGGCCGCCTATGGAGCGGGGCTGCAGCGGCTTTCGGTAAACACAAAGCCGCACCCCGTTTCTTCCGGTTACGCTTTCTTTCGGTGTTAGCCATTTAGTTTTTAAAATAACGGCAGCGACCGCTGGTCCGCTCGCGAATCCAGATTACCCAACACCTACGATAATGGTTGCAGGAGAGGGTAAATGCCCCGTAGAAGGGATTCTGGACGTCGGATGGCGTACCGGCGCCTAGTGCGGGAGTACAACACATCCGCCGACTTTGACCCGCGCGCTGTACTCGATCCCGATTGGATCCACCGGGAGGTCCCGGTCTATCACCCGGTGCCCGGGAATCTAGGGGCGTACGAGCCGGGAGCGCGTTGGGTGCAAGGCAAGCCCTACGTGAGGAAGGCGGATGTTCTTCGCCGCGGACAATCCGAAGTCGCGGAACCGACGTCTAAGTCGGTTGAACCTATAAAAGGAAAACCGACTATAACAAGCAACAAGCCTTTTAACCGGCTGATGCGCCTGGCGGTGTTTTGCCCTCCACCAGACCCCAGTTATCATGTGGGTCAAATAGTCATAGCAAAACGGGCCCCTCGCTCGACGTCCGACCCTCTAGTAAAAAACCAGGACGTCACAACCTCCGTTCTCTCGTCTGACGAACAAAATTGTGAAAACCATTTTATGTCCACTCACTCTCGCAATCAAGAAGGGCGGTATATTGTACGATTGCCTTTCAAAAAATCTGTTGATCATCTCGGCGACTCACGTCAAAGGGCCGCTCGAATAATGCTGAAACTTTCTCATAAACTCTCTTCGGATTCTGACTATGCAAAACAATATTCAGAGTTTCTAAACGAATACGAACAGCTTAATCATATGAAACTAGTCCCTCCACATTTGCCTGAACCTCATCATGTATATTATTTGCCACATCACGGAGTTAAAAGGGAACAAAGCCTTACTACCAAACTACGTGTTGTATTTAATCGATCTAGCGCCACTTCTTCAGGTTTTTCTCTCAATGATTTGTTACACACTGGAGCTAAGCTTCAGTCAGACTTATTCGATATTCTACTTTGGTTTCGTCAATTTCAATATTTTCTTTTCCTCCGATATAGAAAAAATGTATCGCCAAATAGACATTCATCCAGACGATTGGGATTTTCAAAGGATTTTATGGTGTGATCAGTCACCCAACCTGAAAACATACCAACCTGACTCTCTCTCTTACCGTTGCTTATGGACTAGCTTGTGCTCCCTTTTTAGCATTACGCGCCATTCAACAGTTATCAAACGATGAGGGTTCAAAGTACCCATTGGCAGTTCCCTGTCTGCAAAAAGGGAGATACGTAGACGATCTCTTCGGAGGTGCTTATAGCATAGAAGACTCAAGAAATTGTTACCCAGTTAAACCAGCTCTGCACGGCGGGCGGTTTTAAATTGAAGAAATGGTCCTCCAACCATCCAGACATACTTCGTTCGATTTCGAAGGATGAACAGATATCCTCGTTGTCAATCGATTTTGATCATGATACCGTTGTTCATACTCTCGGACTTCAATGGCAACCATCATTCGATGTCTTTCAATTCACGTTTAGTTGTCAGATGGACAATGTATTCACCAAGCGAAAGGCCCTGTCAACCATTGCCAAATTATTTGATCCGCTTGGATTCTTGTCTCCAATTATAATTATCGCTAAGATCTTTATACAAGAATTATGGACTTTGAAAATAGGTTGGGATGACCCTCTACCATCTCACTTTGAAGGTCGATGGCTCAGTTTTCTAGAAACCCTTCAAGAAATACCTAAAATTACTATCCCTCGGTGGATAGGGTTCTCAACATGGAATCGAAGTTCATGGATTTTCAGATGCTTCTCAAAAGGTCGTGGCTGCTATCTTGTATCTTCGAGTCACCGACTATGAAGGACTAACCACTGTCCATTTCGTAGCATCAAAAACAAAGGTAGCACCATTGAAACGTCTTACCATTCCCAGATTAGAATTGTGTGGAGCTGTATTGCTCACTAAATTAGTTTCCCATTTTCTCACGGTGCTTGAATTAAAGAATTTGCCTATAATCCTCTGGACGGACTCCTCAATTACTCACATATGGTTAAATAATCATCCATCTAAGTGGAAGGAGTTTGTACGTAACAGTGTCAGCCTTGTTCAAGAAACCTTACCCCAAACTGAATGGAGGTTCGTGCCAGGCTATTATAACCCATCAGATATAGCCACCAGAGGTGCTACCCCCTCTCAGCTCTTAGATTATTCTAAATGGTGGAACGGCCCTCAATGGCTTTCACAGGAAAGATCAGCTTGGCCACAGAAAGTCACGCCAACATGTCTTAATGATAATCTCGAAGAACACTCCTCTGTTGTACATGTAGTTACAAGTAGTAAGGAAAAGGAATGGGATCTCCTTTCTCGATACTCTAGTCTTACAAAGCTGTATCGTGTTACTGTCCTTTACCAACGTGCTGTCTCTAGATTCCGAGGGATCCCACTTACAACCTCTTCGTCTTCCCTTTCAATAATTGAATTGAATAATACCAAACTATTCTGTATTAAGGTCATACAGCGATTGTTTTTTCTCAACGAAATCACCTACCTGTCGAAAGGACTACCGATTCCGCGGTCAAGTCCTCTCATCCGCCTCACTCCCTTTCTGGATGCATTAGGTCTATTGCGAGTAGGCGGTCGTTTACAAAACTCACTTCTAAACGAGGAAGAAAAGCACCCCTGGATCTTGCCTCGAAAGTCAACACTGACTTCACTTATCATAGCAGACGCTCATCATCGGGCATTGCACGGTGGAACGCAAGTTACACTATCCTTAATTCGCACGGAATACTGGATCATAGGAGGTAGAGCCCCAGTAAGATCTTGGATCCTCAAATGCGTTAAATGCACTCGCTTCCGCCAACAACGAGCTCAGCAATTAATGGGACAACTCCCTACTAAACGTATTACCCCTTCTCGTCCATTCACTCACACTGGCATTGATTATGCTGGCCCTTTCCTAATCAAGACCTGGAGAGGAAAGAATGCACGCACTTACAAATCCTATGTCGCCCTGTTTGTCTGTTTCGCCACGTCAGCAATTCACTTGGAGCTTGTAACTGACTATTCATCTGACGCTTTCATAGCTGCTTATAAAAGATTTATATCAAGACGAGGAATTTGCTCCACGCTCACAAGTGATTGTGGCACAACGCTTAAGGGAGCAGATTCTGAATTACAAAGGTTATTCTCACAAGCTAAGCAAGAATTCTCAAAACTAGCAGTTTTATTAGCTAACAGTGGTACTCAGTGGGAATTTAACCCCCCTTCAGCTCCACATTTCGGAGGCAAGTGGGAGGCCGGTATTAAATCAATGAAACACCATCTTATTCGAGTTGTTGGCAATACTACCTTCACGTATGAAGAAATGAGCACTCTGTTGACTCAGATTGAAGCCGTTCTGAATTCCCGACCACTTTACCCTTTAACTGAGGATCCAGATGACCTCAATGTTCTGACTCCCGGACATTTTATAATGAGCTGTGCGCCTATGACTGTCCCAAAACCCTCTCTCGAGTTGGTAAAAACCGCTCGTTTATCTCGATGGCAGCTCATTCGACAAGCTCTAGATTCATTCTGGACCAGATGGTCACACGAATGTATGCAACAATACTATGCTACGTATAAATGGAATAAAGTTACTCCCTCTCTGCAAGACGGAACCATAGTCCTAGTAATAGACGAACGTTACCCCCCTTCTAAATGGCCTCTAGGGCGGATCATTGCTACTCATCCTGGTAAGGATGGCCACACTCGAGTAGTCACAGTCAAAACTCAAACCTCTCTCTTGAAACGGCCTATTGTCAAGATATATCCATTGCCTGTAGTGCAGTAGTTCCCACAAGTTATTCATTAACTAGCCTTAATGAAGGCGGGCGGAATGTTTAAATAATAAATTCGAGTTATTTTGGAAGACCGCCAGTCGTCGGAAATTACCACGACCGCTGTAAATTTTGGTCGCAAGCATTTATGAAGAAGACCGCGCGTGGCACTGGCCTCTTCTTTTTGTCTCTCCTTTGTTCGTTCTCGCGTGTTACGCACGGAACGGTCGTTGTATTCATTGTCGCTAGCCATCTTGCATAACGTGGACGCACGTTTTGACTTCTAACGAGTTTCGGTAATTTGAAGCTATTGTGTGCTTTTACTGTCATCCGAAAGTGAGGGGCTGGAAGCCCACTTGGAGCTGGAAGCTCAATTGAGGCTGTTAGCCTGCAAATTAAAACCGGTAAATGCTTGATCAAGTCAAATTGCAAACTCGCTTGAGACGAGGCAACGAACATGTCCGCTGGACAATGGTGAAAGACGCTGGGATTCAGGTACCTGAAAGCGCTTAATGGTTAACTCGGCTTTCCGAGCTCTTAAGTCAGATGTTATAAACTTGCGGCTGATAGCCGACACTGAACATCGTTCTCGTAAGTCTTGTAAATTATTTTCAGTATTAAGTTCTTTATTTCAAGATCGCAAGTTGCATGCTGTGCCTTCTACTAGGAGGATTTTAGTTCTTTTGTAAAGCTTATTTTAATATTTTACGTTCCTTCTTACATTCGAGTCATTAACTCTACTTAACAGTTCAAAGTTATTACATTCTAAGAATTACATTTTTTATTATATCCAATAATTTCTTTTAGATTATTTAATGAGTATTTTCTTATCTTTTAAGCATAATATTAACTATCGTAGATTTTTAGTGTTTCTTTTCGTGTTATGAATATAAGCCTATTTTTCTCCATTGTTTAATAAAATAAAATTTACAGATTCTATACGCCACATTTCGTCTATGTTACAATCTTCATTTGTTTTAAAACATACCACGATCGCTATCGAACACAGTTACAGAAATTGTGTAATACTGTCATTTATTATTAAATTACCAGTGATTAATGAATTTTTTTGTATTAAAAACACTAACAACAGAGTGATTTACTTTCAAAGTGTAAAAATACTCAAAGTGTTTTTATTCTCACAGTGTTTTTACAACTCAAATTAAGTAAGATTAATCATTGGCCAATTTAATTAATACTGCCAGTATTTATTTCTGTTGCAGATCATTCATACTGGCCGTAACCGTATGTCATATGCCATAACCTGTAAAAATTAATTAATCACAAACGAAGTATTCCCCTTCTTACAGTCGAATGAGAAGGGAATACTCAACTGATATATATATAATTGATCAATTCTTATAGATTATGGCATACGGTTACGGCTAGTATGAATGATCTCTTATATTCCTTATAGAAATTTAACACTAATACTGGCCAATTAATCACTTATTTTCAGTATTAAAAATACTGTTAACAATACTTTTAATACTGGAAATAAGTGATTAATTGGCCAGTATTAGTGTTATGTTTCTATAAGGGATGGTGTAGGTCAATAACCATTTAAATGGTTGTAAAATACCAAACCTTGCTTGATTTTTGCCGTAAATTTGTCGCTACGAAAAGTTTGTTGCTAATTTACTGTCAATTTGTCGTCAAAAAGCGCTACGCAAAACTTGCTACGAATTTGGTACCAATTCGTCGCCAAATAACGGTATACACAATTTGCTGCCAATTTGCTGCCAATTTGTCGTCAAATAGCGCTACGCAGAGCTTGCTATCAATTTGCTGCCAATTTGTCGCCAAATAACGCTATGCACAATTTGCTGCCAATTTGGTACCAATTTGTCGCCAAACAGCGCTACGCAAAGCTTGCTATCAATTTGGTGCCAATTTGTCGCCAAACAGTGCTACGCAAAGCTTGCTAACAATTTGGTGCCAATTTGCTGCCTAGTTTTGTAACGCAAGCTTTGCCTGAAAAACACAAGTTTACTGCTAACACAGATAGCACCGGATTTGCTACCAAACTTTGAACGAGTTTGATGCCAAATTGGTGCCAAATTGCTAGCAAATTGCTTACTGGATACTATTTCTTGTTCTTCTCCAAATAGTATACAACTTTTGTTTACAAACTATTTTTAAAAAATTTTAAAAGATTTTTATTTATTTTTGTCTTATTTAATATATCTCCAATTTATAATGTATAGATAAAATATTCTTGTCGGAAATATTATGTTTTGAAAAATGAGATTGCAGGCCGCTTATTTTCATAGAAATTTAAAAAATCGAATGTATACATATTTTTTAATCGTTATGTCTGTTATATAATGAAGTCACAATCGTGTAAGCCGTAAGAAATTGGACAATTATAGTTGAATATGAAAAGAATAATCGATTATGATTGGTTAATTTCTTACGGCTTACGGATTATGACTCGATTGTAAAACAGGCCTTAGTGCTGTAGTCATTTATAGTGGTTAGTTATAATGAAAAAGCCAGAGGCGTTAAATCGTGGATTGGCTAGTAATAATAAGCCAGAGGCGTTTATTGTGAGCTGGCTAGTAGTAATAAGATGCCAGAGGCGTTAATCGTGAGCTGGCTAGTAGTAATAAGATGCCAGAGGCGTTGTGGGATGGCTAGTAGTAATAAGATGCCAGAGGCATTTATCGTAAACTGGCTACTTTATAGCAACAGCATTTATTATTAAAAAATGTTTGTTGTGTGTTATAAATGTAACATTAAATAATGCAAGCATAGTATCATGTAGAGTTGTTACGATTGATATAGTTAGTTCATTTTTAATAATAATGCAATAAGCAAAAGTCTGCAGAAACTGAAAATTTTTTTTAATTTATTTGGAAATTATTAATTCTGTGTAAAATAAACATAATTATACATTAATTAGATAAATATAAGAATCTTTTTACGACCGTACAATTGATAAACAATAATAAGAAGAAAGATGCTTATAGCATTGTTACGTCCAAGCCTCAGGATTTTTATTACGTGGGAAGTTCTGGGTTAAAGAGGAGGCCTCGGAAGAACGTAACTAACATCAGATGTGTCTCCCGATCGTCCCGCCCTGCGGAGGGTTACGAGAGACAGTCAGACGCACTAAAAAGGGTACGGAATTAGGTCAGTGTGCCATACTATAATACTTGTATACGGCACACTATGACTCTTATCCCGAACCGTACGCCCGTCGGTCCTTTAAATTTAGGCCAAGGAACTCAATCCTTATAGCCAGGGATAGGGACCGAGTGCGATCTCGGGGGTGACGGTTGGAATGCGAGGAAGGTTGCTTTTAAATCAAATCACAACCACAATCTTTAATGTAAAAAGAACATTGAAATATTATTTATTAAATGAAATTGTTGTACCTCTCGGTGCAACAAGATATTATTTTGGGATTCGATCCGCTCAAAGGGTTGGAACCCACGAGGAAAGACGAGGATAGTAAAAGGTCGTTGAACAAACACTCACTTCACCACACTTCTATTTAAAATAACCCTTTTTATTTAACAATTTGATAGTTGATTACAAATGTTGTACCCCTTTATTTATATAATTATTTATTACTAAAGATTACAATGCTTTTTAGTAACTGTAACTTTCATTTAATTAATACAGTTGTTTAGTTAAATGAATATATTTTAAAGTTATCGCTCGTGACTTATGAGTAAACCGGTCGGCGACGGTATCGCGGATGTTACTTGACTCGGTTCTCGCGACGCGCGTAACGTATCGTTACGTTTAGATTTCAAGACAAGACTCTGCGCTCGGCATTTAGGCGGTCGCTTATATTGAGTTTGATGATGTCGCTTTTGGTCTTCGATCGGACCATATATGGTAATATTCGTCGCGCTAGAGGCGCGATCGCGTGATTAAAGAATGTGCAATCTTGCACTTCCGCTGTTGGTTGCCATGCCGAGTGCATTTAGGTATTTCGCGCGCTACGATCTTAGATCGACGCTTTGTCGCGCGCGGTTTAAAGAATGTGCAGACTTGCATTTCCGGTGCCGATTACTATGCCGGTTGAATGAAATAATTGATAAAATAAGTGATAGCCATTCGGGCTATAACACCCTTCCCCCGTTGGAAAAGAAAAACGGAGGAACGGAGTTTTTCGTTAAACATATTATTATTAAAAACGTGTGCTTTTACTTCGTTTTAAAATTGACTTTGGAAGTTCGAAAGCAAAGCTTATGTCCTCGTCTGCACGTTCCTTTTTGTTGTATTTACTCCGTTTCTTTTTTCGTAGGATATAGATTATCGCTATTATAATGATTATTAATACTAGTAGTACAGCAATTCCGCTAGTTGCCATTGGAGAAATAAAGTGTTCCAATCGGAACTGGAGATTTTCGTTTTCGTCAATATTGTCGTTTATTTTGTCTAATTTTAATTTGAAATCTTTTAATTCTGATGAGTTGACATTGACGTCTTTTATTTTTATTTGTTCGTTTCTGTCAGTCTCCGTTTGTTGTTTGTTTTTTAAGAAGGATATATTGTATTCTGGCATGAATGATTCTATTACTGTCTCGTGTAATGTTTTTTGTGACTGTAGCGTTGTGTCTGACGTTATTAATTTACAATCTTCTAGTAAGGAAATTTTTTCTGTGTTTTCAATTGTTTTCTTTATTTGTCCGTGGTCTTTACATTTTATAAGAATTTGTTCTTTTTTTTTGTTGTCGCAAATAACCATGAATGAGGGTTATTTAGTGGTATCCATACGGTTTGATGTCTTATTTTCTACTTCGCAATTGGTATAATATTCTTTATTTCCTAAGTATATTTCTATTTTGCAAGTTGGATTTAAGTTCGCACGGCGTATTTCGAAATTTTTGCTACATATATATATAGTCGCTATAAATTGTTTTACAATTTTGGAGATTATTTTTATTAATTATTAAATATGATTTTCCTTCCGTATACACAGCAATTAACGGATTTTTTTTTTTTTTTATTTTTAAGTATATAAATACATTTTTGTTATGATTTGCAGGTAGTGGTG